CCTTCCCCTGATTGCCAGGTCACCTCCCACCCCTGAGGGCTCCCAAACTGTGAGAGGGGGCAGGCTGGGCTGAGAGCATGGATTTTCATGCACCGGGCCTCTAGTATATTAATATATTTATTCACTTTATAGTCAATATTAACATATTTGTATATACATAAATTATGCTTATATAATAATCAATGTTTATTAATAATATATTGGGTATTATGTAGTGTGTTATAATTGATATTTAATCTATTAATAAATATTACAGATGACTACTTAATATTAATGTTATTATATATTTATTCTTCCACATGAAATTCAGAGAAAATTTAGAAGTGAAAAATTTTAAGGAATTGTGCCTGCAAGAAATGAGCAAAACAACGAGAACAGGAAAGGCAGACTTAAAGGAAGACTAAGAGAATGTGGCTGGTGTCACCTTAACAGCCCGAGGTACCCACTCCCATCAAAAAGCAAAGCAGGGAGAGGCCAGCAACCTACACACAATCCATTCTGTCTGCCAGACCTCATAAAGGGGCTGCAAAATTAGGTCCAAAGTACATATTGAAATTTTTAATATATTAAATACACACATGCTGCAAAATTAAAAGCAAATATTTTCTTCGCAAACACTACCATGTCGTATCATTCAGGTTTCCTCTCCTCTCAGGTCGGCTCCCTGACTTGCAGGGCCTGAGAAGCTACCTCTGTCTAGTCTATTCTCCTTAGAATGGGCAGAGCCACCCCCACAGGCAACAGATGGACCAGTAGACTTGCCAGAGAGCCCAGCATCTTGTTACACCTTCACTCAGCCTGGCCCCTAACACCCTCCTCTAGGGAAGGTTTCATAATAAAAGTCTATGCCTCCACCAGGAGCTGGCTTTGCAGGTTCTTCCCCCTGGTGCTCACCTGACTGGTGGGTGCCCCAGAAGAGTGGAGACCAGCAAGAGCTGCTGAGAGGAGCAGGCTGCCCCTCCCAGAAGAGTTCCACTGTAGTAACAACTGTTTGAAAGAGGATCTGTGAGGTAAATGTTAGCTCTTCCTGAAAACTCATTCATCAGCAGCTCCTGGTCCTGCAGTGCTTCTGTGTCAGGCCCTGCTTTTCACATTGTCCTTCTCACCTGCAGTTTGCAATGTGCCACATCCATTCATTCCTACTCTTCCCACAGCTCAAATTTTTTACAAACATTGAAATTCAGCCTCTTTACCTTATTTCCAGAGTACAGATATTCTCAACACTAGCTACTTTATAAGTGCCTGGGGCGTTGTTGTTTGTTAGTACCAGTGAAATGACCACACCTTAGACATTCTCATGAGTTGGGGGCCCAGGTACCAATATATTTTACAAGTTTCTCAAGCTAAGAACCACTGTCGTGAAACTTGGCAGTTTCTTTTATTAACTGATTATACCAAGAAATTCATTTTAAATTATGGAATAAAATTACACTAGAGAGCCTAAATTTTAAAAGATATCATTTATTTAATTGCAAAAAGATGAGCTAGCTACCTATCCTTTCACCAAAAGTTTCTGTAACTGGGGAAAGTTAAATTTCTGAGTTGTAGAGGAGATTTCAGTAATGGCTATGAACTAGATTTCAATGACCTCTCATGTTCTTAAGCAGCCAACAGAACTGAACAGAACAATTAGAAAGCTGCAATAATTGACAATTTATAAGATTTTTAGAATTCAAAATAATTCTGATCAAAAGTTATCAGAGGATACAAAATAAAACCCTGAACTTGCATATAATGCCCATTGAACTAAGTCATCATTATAGAGGTTAATTCTTTGCTTGGAGCAAACTTCAGAAATGTAGAAAAAGCAATAGGAAAAACATAAAAATAAAAACCAGAAATCCATGTAAGCAGCTACCTCAAGGTGACCAGTAGTACCTAGTATTCTTTTCCCCTCAACATGAATCTATGTCATATATATAAACAAAAATGGTTTTACCACATAAAAATAGTAAAAAGGAGAAAAGTTTCTATTCAGAAATGTTACAAATTCTCAAAACAATAAATAAGCACATAATCAAATGAAAATTTCAAAACATATTCTTAAGGTTATAGATGGTTGTATCTTCTGTCACTAGTAAGACACACAGAGAGAGAGAAGATGGAGAGAATTTACTGCTCTTCAAATTCCTTCTTTCATATAATAATCAGGGATGAAAAAGAACTGTACTTCCTGTTGGAACTGCCCCAACAGGTCAGAATCAAGTTGTCCCCTGACCATGGCAATGGGATATGACACAAAGTTTACATTTCTCTTCTATAATACTAATCTCCAAATATTTTAACTGTTTCTCTAGTTACCATTGGGCATCTAAGCGGAATGGCCAGCCACAGTTTATGTCTTTCTTAAACTTTCTTAAACTTTTCATTTACATTTTCAATCCTTGGGAGTTTTATCCTCATCCCAAACTTGCAGTAGGCTAAGGTAACAATGTTCTCTCTTTCTCTCATGCAAACATCAATGCAACTCCTCCAAGCCACTGTTTTCCATGTTGTGAGTCACCCGTCAAGGAAGTTCAAATCTGTGACTTCACAATCTCAACATGAGGTCCTCTTGGTTGTTACAGCGGGAGAAGGGACACCTGGCAGGTTGCACACTGGCTTTTCTGTTTAGGCCAAGAAATGACACATCACTTCTGCCCAAAGCCCACTGGCCAGAACTGGTCACATAAGTCCTGCAGAGAGCTTTAAAAAATGTAGGGAAGCAAATGAAATGTTTCATGAGCAGCAGCCAGCGTCATTTTAACTGTTTTGCCCTCTTTTTTAAATGGCTTTTCTTTTCATTTATCCTACATAGAGATTCACTAACTTTACAGTATATGCCTCATCCCAGGCTCTAGTGAATAATCACCCTCATCTCGTGACTTTAAAGATTTTTATTCTATGCCCCCGAAATTGCAAACTTTTTACAATACACGCTTGGTAAATAGTCAAAAGTATGTTCATTGAGTTTAGAATATCTTCTATAGACCATTCTTAATTTCATGGGGGTGAATTTTTCTTAGTATACAATGATATATGTCATAGATTCAGTATAATTATGATGTTGAACAAGATGAAATAATATATTCTGTTTCTTTCTAATATCCTTTTTTATTTTTTAAATATATTTGTATTGATTTCAGAGAGGAAGGGAGCAGGAGAGAGAGATAGAAACATCAATGATGAGAGAGAGAATCATTGATCAGCTGCCTCCTACAACCTGGGCATGTGCCCCGACTGGAAATCGAACCCTGACCTCCTGGTTCATAAGTCGATGCTCAACCACTGAGCCATGCAAGCTGGGTCTAATATCCCTTTTGAAAAAGCTCAAAATTTTATTGAATGTTCTATCCGAAGCAAAGCCTCAGGCGTCGGTCTACAACACTATGACCTAATGTGCTTGACTCTCTTTATTTCATATGCAGAGTGTATAAATTGTCCCTGAAACTCAGTACATAGTCACACTTTCTACTTACTCAGCTGGTATTTTTTGTTTGACCTTCCAGAGAGCAGCCCTGGACTGCACAACAGTAGGTTGGGGATCGTGTACTCTCATTGGAGTAGCCATTGGTGACAAAGGATTCACAATTTCTCCAGTAGAAATAATAATGGGCCGTACTATCAATGGAACGTCATTTGGTGGTCAGTTGTGCTTTTTCTGTTCATTTTCTCCATAATAGTACTCAAATTGAAATGAAAATAATTTGTTTAAATACTGAGTACCTAAAATACATCTAAAAACTACAGGAACGCTATTCTAATAATTACTTGAAAGTAAACAATTTGTATAGTAGGAATACTACAACTTGCAAATAGAAGTTCAATTTGCATTAAAATAAACCAACAGAGAGAAACAAAAGTCAAACTTGGACTAAACACAGATAATTTCTTATGCAGAAATATAAATAATCTTGAATTTTTCCTATGAATAAAATATTTAAGGGAGATAAAAATAAAGAAAAAATAAATATGAGAGGGAATTTAATCTATTTGTAGGAAGCCAAATCTGACCAAATAATTTCATTCATTCAACAATGATTAATCTACTTGTTCATCATTCAACAATGATTCTTTATTAGGACTTTTGGCCAAATTATAGGTTACAAGGGTAGAGATTCAATCCCAAAGCTGGTTACTGATTACAAGAATAAGAAATTCAACCTGGATGCACTGGTGACCCATACCCTGCCTTTTGACAAAATCAATGAGGCATTTGACCTAATGCACCAAGGAAAAAGGTAAATTACCAAACAGATGGGTAAGTGGTTTGAAAAACCTTTACGATGACTCTATTTTTATTTGATGTTTAAATCTAATCAGTTTCTTTCCTGACATTTTTCACATCATCAGACATACTAGAGGTGCTTAAAAGATGAAATAGTGGCCATTTGGGGGGGAAACCCCAACAGTACCTACATTCCTACTCTTTTTCCATAATGTCCACTGCCATACACTGTTCCAACATAGAGGGTGGCATAAGTTGACATATTTTCTTTCACAGACAATCATTAACTCAGTTGGGGCTGCTCCCTACGAGAGAGGTTTCTATACTATAACATCAGGTCCCTCTGGGACAACATAGCCCGGCTCTGGAATCACTATGTTTGACAGAGTGCACCCTGCAGGCCCTTCTTTATCAGAATCAGGTGAAAACCACAGAGATGTGAGCAGGGAGTGGCAGGTATCAGATACTTAAAGGATGTCCCAACTCTCTCATCCTCTTGCTTTGTCAGAGGTCTCCTATAAGAGACATCCGACCTACAATTTTAGCTGTAGTGTGCTCCCTTCCCATGAACCCTGAGAGCCGATTTATAGAACTGTCCCATCTGGGGGATCCCTAGCAATGGGGAGTGGATAAGACTGGGATCAGTGATTTTTGTTAAAATGATCAAGCATAGCCCTGATCAATAGCAACAAAGGGCAGGACACCAGGAACAATGTTGCACAGAGGAGACGCAGTACAAAAAAGCAAAGAAAAGAGAAGACATTACAAAAGAGGGGAGGGGGACCTAGAGTTAGTTTGCAGGGGTTTGACGCAGAGAAGCAACGTCACAAAAGAAGAAAATAGGTCCATGGTGTGAGGACACAGGATACTTCACAGGATAGAAACCTGAGAAAATGTGCCTACTGCTTGACATGAACTCCCTAATTTGAAACATGTTAGCTACAACATATCCAAAAGGAGTTCAACAAAAATCAAAGAAATAGCCCTTGCCAGTTTGGCTCAGTGGATAGAGCATCAGCCTGAGGACTGAAGGGTCCCGGGTTCAATTCCAATCAAGGGCATATGCCTGGGTTGAGGGCTCGATCCCCAGTAGGGGGCGTGCAGGAGGCAGCCTATCAATGATTCTCTCTCATCATTGATGTTTCTATCTCTCTCTCCCTCCTTTTAAATATAAAAATATATTTTTAAATAAATAAATAAATAAATAAATAAACACTATTTTTTAAACTATGCTAAATAACTTAGTGTAAAAGCCCTGAAATATCTTGCACAGTGTCTAAATCTCTGTACTCCTCAAATGAGGAATTGGTTGGGTTTGGGGGTTGGAACCTGGTGCTCATAACTCCTCCACCACTACCCAATTGTCCCTGGGTTCTAAGTCATAGACTATACCCAACCAGGAATTCTAAGTGGCAGCCAAATGCAAAATGTTGCATTGCTTTAGTAATAGCTGGTCAAGTTTCCCATATCCTACAAACAGGGCTGGTAATCACTGGTAGAATGGAGGGCTATGGGAAACACCTACATGAGGCCTCCTACTCCCTCTTGTCCACTGAGAAGACCACCTGACTGCCTGACTGCAGTTGGGGGCGATAAGGCCTGCAGGGGAGGGCCATTGGGGGTGACCAGCCCTGCAGGGGAGGGCAGTTGGGGGGACCAGGCCTGCAGGGGAGGGCAGTTGGGGGGACCAGGCCTGCAGGGGAGGGCCGTTGGGG